GCAGACGACATAATATTGAACTATACCCTTGGTTCAAGTGCACCTTTAGAGAATCCAAGTACAAGCGTAAAAGATACTCTTAACAATTTAGATAACAGTTGCAGGAATATCGAAGATCATGCCAGAAACTTTGAAGCATATGAACTACCAGCAATGTTAGATAAGAAAGCAGATAAAACTTATGTGGATGCAGAACTAACAAAGAAATTTTCGAAACCAGATACAATGACATTTACAACAGAAATTATAAATGGTGAACCAGCAACTCCATTTGAATTTGTTAGAGGTCTTCAACCAGATACTTTTGAATTTTTCTTGGATAATTCTATTGAACTAACATTACATTATAAAAGTGGAACAAATGCAACATTTCATCCGGGAGATACATTCCAAATGGTATTTAATGACATAAGTTCTTTAGAATATGTTTATAGAGTTATGAGCATATATGATTTAATATATCCTATAGGAGCTGTTTATACGTCTATGAATCCAATAAATCCAAACACTTATTTGGTGGTAGATGGTATGAAATAGTGACAGTTTTCCATTCTACACTAATACGCAGTCAATGAAGATGGGAGGTTCAAAGAAAATAGGTATTTGAAAACCTTCCTTCACATATGCATAGGTTCAGTGGAAGAACATCTGTGGAAGGAAACCATTCACATTCAATAACAAAAAGAGGTTATACAAATCTTGCAGCGGGTTCGGATAGACAGGGAATGCATAGATATGATATTTCAACTGACCCAGTAGATTCAAGCACAGGTATTTTCTGTGGAACTGCAGGAAATCATACACATGTTGTAGCTGGTATTACAGACCCAGCAGGTAATGGAAAATATTATATGCCTCCTTATATAACAATGCACGCTTGGATACGAGTTGGTTAAAATCTTTAACTTTACAAAATGAGCTTGAAAGAAGTATTCGAACAACATCCATGGAGGTCATTTAAGAAGTTCAATGAAGCTGCAAAGAGTTCGGGATTTACTAACAGAGCTGAAGTGAAAAGGTTCTTTGACAAAAATGTTGTACATCAAACAAAAATAAACCCTTACGACTACTTTTTACCAATTTACTCCAACACTCCTGACGCATACCAATTTGACACTCTCATTCAAAGCAGAAAATGTGGCCATAAACCATTCCTCATCTTCATAAATGTTAACACTCGTAAAGCATATGCATATCCAATGAAAAATAAAGGAACTCATGAAGTGTTAAGAGTTTTACAAAAGTTTGTAGCAGAACATAACCCAAGTACTTTAACATCAGACCAAGACGGTGCATACCTCAGCAACGAAATCACAGAATTTCTCATTAAGCATAAACAAACTCACTACACTACTGAAGACCATAACCATAACATACTCGGTATCATTAACCGCTTCATAAGAACGCTCAGAGATTTAAATCAAGAGCGAGACTTTACCGAAGAAACAATGAAACATTTCATCGAAGTATATAATTCCTCAACACATTCTACAACAGGCCATACACCAAATTCAATGACACAACAACAAGAAGAAAAGTATATACAAAAGAAACGAAGTCAAACACAAAATATCAGAAATTCAACACAATTTACTCTCATTCCTGGAACAAAAGTTCGTGTAGTTCTTGACGACAAACCGTTGACAAAGAAACGTTTAAGGTTAAGTCGAAATTATTATATCGTAGACTCTACGCAAGGTAATGGATATCTTATAAAAGCTGCTGACGACTCTATTGCGTTTTATCCTCGACATAAATTAGTCGAAAGTAGTAATGGCAAACTTGCTGAAACCATTGACGAAGCAAAGCGAGGAGTGGTTATTGAAATACTTGACTACAACATAAACGATGACACTTATAAAGTAAGATATGAAGGAGGCGTTGAAGATGTTATACCATCTAAGAACTTGAGAGAGTCGAAGCCAACACATCTGGGACCATTAGAGCGGGAGTACTGGAAAGACAAAAATATGCCAGAAAGAATAAGAAAATTCTTCTAAACTTTTTCGTTGGATGTAAATCAGACATGAATGAGAACAGTCATGTATTATTAATGTTTTCATAAATTTACACCAAAAATAATGTTTAGGTGAAGAGGTGAGATCTCACCCGTTTTTTCACCTCTTTTTTCACCCTCACCGCTTAGCGGCTCAGATTGCTTTAGCTTTCTCATGAATTTTCATGTATTTCCTTATGAAAGAAAAATAAAGTTAGTTTTATTTTTATTTATTTTTTTATCCGGAATATAAAGACAGTAATGACAACATCAGAGAACACAACAACAGTTATAGTCCATGAAGCAATAAATGAAGAATACGAATACATACAGTATAACAAACAATTGAGACTCATTCGTTCAGTCAAAGACGACATGTACCAAATGCAAAGTATAATGAATGCTCTTCAGTCTACAAAGCAAGCATATCATTGGTTTGAAAACCAACAGACAAAAGAACTTTTAGAAGAATTTCCTCATATGATTGCTACCCTCGGAAAACCGAGGGAAGAGATTCCATTCGAAAATCGCAAGAATTTGGCACCTGGTTTGAGAGGTTATTATGTTCATAGACTTTTAGTAAATGCTGTAGCAATGTGGGCTTCACCTCGTTATGCTTGTTATATTTTCATGATGTTAGATGAACTATATAAAGCAGAACGTGGAGAGATGGAAAAGAAACTTCAAGCAAAAGATGAAGTCATTGAATCCAAAGACAAAAGCATACAGAAAAGAATACCACGTTCAGTACCAAAAGGAAAGGAAAAGAGTTATAAGTATATGATATATACTGAAGAGTTGGAGAAAGAAGAAGATAAAGATATGGTTATGTTGCATTTAGTCAGAAGAAACAACAAGAGCTTTTATGACCTTGCTAAGATTTACAAATCTGACAGAAACTGGTTCTATCGTGAAAACTTACCGATTTCAATGACACCGAATGAGCAAATAAAAGAAATTGTCAAAAATACTCTTCCTCAAACACACTATGACATCAAAGGTTGCACAATACTTACCTTCAAAGAAGACTTACCATTACTGAAAGAAAAGATAACAGAATATTTCGATAACTTCAAAGAGGAAGAATGAAGTCACGACAACATTAACGAAGAAGTCACGACAACATTAACGAAGAGAGAATGAGGTGAAAAAACAGGTGAAATCTCACCTCTTCACCAAAAATATATTTTTGGTTAAATAGCTTCAGGGTCAATTTCTTCAACCATTTCACTTCCTTCGTCAATGTCAATAGAAGCTTCTTCAACCTTTGGTAAGAACTTTTGTATAACATCTTTGTTCGTTATTGTCTTCAGAGATGAAGGATAATATTTCACATTTATTTCACCCTTCTTATATTCTTTCTGTTCGGAAAGATTTAAAGCAATACTGAAGAAGTCAACGTTAGAGTTCTTTATGACAGTATAGTGTGTATCTTTGACATTCACGAAGAAACCCTTTTGTTTCAAAACTACTGCTAACTCTTGTGAAGTATAACGTTTGCGGTCAATGACGATAGCTAATGGTCTGACATACTGACCAAACTTAGATTCTTTCACAAACTTCTTGTTAAAGATAACATTAACGTTTGCAGAACCATTGAACTCATTCTTGATGGCAGTAGCGAGAGCATTGTATGAAAAGAACTTGCAATCTTGCATGTGTTTCATTAAAATAAAAATATTAAATTATTTTGAAAAATAACTTAAAAAAATGTAATCTAATTTTTCAAAAAAATATTTTTATCCGATAGAAAAGATGACAGAAAAATTAACTTTTTACATAGCGCCAGACCCTTCTTGCCCACATCTTTTTAAGCCACAATATATAGTCATAGAACTAAATAGAGAAAGCGAAATTCTACAAATAGAAGAAAGCGAAATTCTACAAACAGAAGAAACATATAGAGACCTAGATAACGAAACTGGATATGCACTATTCTGGTTAGATTGTCCTTATGAAATGTATGAAAAAAAGGCTTTATATGAAGAATATAGAAAATATTGTCATGAAAACAATATAAGACCAAGCTCTAGAGAAAAATTCTATGCTGGTATAAAACATCTTTTCGAAGTTCGGAATGGCAAATATAGAAAGAAATAATTTTTCTAAGTTTATTTTTTCAAAAAATATTTTTTATTTCCTACTAAAGATGTATCGGAAGTTGTCTAAGTTAGAACACTCGGAAATAAAACAACTTCTTACAGAAGCTAATATAGATGTTGCAAAGCATTACGCAACAAACAAAAAAGCACTCGCTGACATCCTCAATGACTATAATGGTGCAATAAGTTATGATAGAATTCATGAGTTCATAAAGCCGCAACGCGGCGAGGACGAAGTCCATGCAAGAGCATTTCCTTTAAATGACATTGCTATTGACTTATATCATAGACGTTCAGTACCTCATGAAGTAAGAAGAGAAATGTTTGACATAACAAATGCAAACGTTGGTGAAACAAGAAGAGCTGTACCACATGAAGTAAGAAGAGAAATGTTTGACATAACAAATGCAAACGTTGGTGAAACACGAAAGAGAGATGACACACTGAAACAACAGAGAAGAGAGATGTTTAAAAGTGCTATAGAACAAGTTCGCAAAGCTAATAATGTCATTCGTTCCATTGACGACAAACCAAAAGAAGGTGAGAGATGGTTAAAGAAAGATGAAGAAAATAGGAAGAGGAATGTGAAGTCAGGCAATAGACTCATTGACTTTAACATCGAAGCTTTAGATGAACCAAACAGAGACTACTTACACAAACATTTTGGTAAGGTTTTCATGAGACTCTTAGAGAAAATTAAAATAAACTCCCAACAGAGATGGATGGTATGTTATAAACTTGGTGGAAAGTATGAATGTTCTACGTTAAACCTCAATAATATTGGAACATTACTACATCAGCTCTTGAAGGAGAACTTTATATCAGAGATAGAAGCAAATGCCGCAGGTATTGTTGAAATGCACTATGACTTCTTCTTGACAAACATTCTTACCGAAATAAAGATGTATGATTTAACAGAATATGAAGGCTTAACGATGTCAGATGTAAAGAAAGGCAAACCAAAAAAGAGACCATATAGAGATGAAAGCACACTGACAAATGACCAGAAAGCCATTTTGGAAGCTCTTAAGCAAACAGGAAACCCAGCACTTATAGAAAGCTTTTGGAAAGATAATGGTGAAAAGAAGTTTTATAAGAAGAGAAGCGGTCAGTTCTGGAAGTATCTTTGCACATTACCTATAAATCTTGAACGCTACCAAATCTTCAATGAACTGAACAAAAGAACTGCAACACTTATGACAGAGGACAATTGTTTCGTTTATGCTTGCATTCAGGCTGGAGTAAATGAAGAAACTATTGACCACATGAGAGAAGTCATTCGTGTTAGAGACTTTCCTCAAAGTAAAGTACAAGAAATTTCTGACGCAACAGGTATAGCATTTAATGTTACCATTGGTTATTTCAATGACTCAAGACATAATGAAATAAAGAGATATATACCAAAAGAATGCGAAACTGTTAGAACTATTGACTTACTTCTTGTTGAAGACCACTACATGCTAAATGAAAGATTACCAATGACAACATACTTCATTCGAAACTATAAAGAAATTCTCAAAGCTTGTGGTGGAATGAACATTGAGAAACAGATGAAGATTTATACAAAGAGAGAAGATAAATATGTAGTTCGTTATGATAGAACAACACCGTTATGGGATGTTATGAAAACATTGTGGGAGTGCAAATATTTCGAACCTATTTCTTATGGAGAACTTTTCACATATACTACTGACTTATATAAACAGAACCTTGCACCATTTAAAGATTTGACATATGCTCCAAAGTATTGTGTACAACTGAAGAAGAAAGCAGAGTCAAAAGAAGTAAATAAAGCTAAATGTAAATTCATACCTGAGCACGTTTTCTTTGCTGACTTTGAGTGTAGTACGGATGGCTTTCATAAAGCTTTTAACATCTGTTATGACAGTGAAGATGGTTCAGTTGAGTGAAAGCATTTGGGGTCAAAACTGTGCAACAGAATTTTTGGAAAGACTTCCTGACAAGAGTTTAATATATTTTCACAACCTCAGTTATGACATAAACTTCATCTTAAGACACATGACAGAAGTGAAAGGAACTCCCATCATTAAAGGTTCACGAACAATGCAAATAACTGGTTTATATAAAGGACGGGCAATTATTATAAAAGACTCTTACAGTGTTATAAATAAGAAGCTTAAACTATTTCCTGCTATGTTTAACTTACAAACAGGACCGAAAGAAGTATTTCCATATAACTACTACAGCAGTGTTTTGTTAGCAAATGACAACAGAACTGGTGTCATTTCTGAAGCATGTAAGTTTATCCATGATGCAGATACATTTATGAAGAACATAGATTCCATCAAAGGTTGCAGAATAGATGAAAACCACTTCGACTTAGAAAAATATAGCACGTTTTACTGCAAACAAGATGTAAGAATTTTAAGAGAAGGTTTTGTAAAGTTCCGCAATGACTTATTGAAAGAGTTTGATTTAAACGTTTATGACTACGTTAGTATTTGTTCTATTGCTAACAAATTGTTTGAGAACAGAGTATACTTCCCGAATGGAAATCTTTATGACCTCTCAAATAAACCAAGAGAATTTATTTCGAGATGCATTCAAGGTGGAAGATGTATGTTGTCAGATAACATGAAACAAAAGAGCAAAAAGAAACTCATTGCTGACTTCGACACTGTTTCATTATATCCTTCAGCTATAGCAAGACTTTATACTTTAGAAGGAATTCCAAAAGTATTGAAGGATGAGATGCTAAGCACAGAGTATCTCATGAGACATTTATTCGATGATGACCAAAAGGAACCCATTGGTGAAAAGTTTATGTCTGGCTTCTTTGTTCTCATTAAGATAACAGAGATTGGTATACCCAGACACTTTCATTTAATAGTTTGCGACCCTGAACTAAATCCAGAACTTAACGTTCCAAGAAGTTCAAACACTTGCTGTCTCATGTATGTTGACCATATAACATTACAAGACCTCATAAAATATCAAGGTGTCAAATGTGAAGTGTTGCAAGGATACTATTACGATGGAAACAGAGATATGAGAATAAGAGATGAAGTAAAGAAGTTGTTTGAGTTAAGGTTAAAGTATAAGAAAGAAGGAAACCCCTTACAAGAAATTATAAAACTCATTCTGAACAGCATTTATGGCAAAACTATTCTATCTCCTATTGAGTCAAAAATAACCATAGTAAATGACAAAGATGCTATAAGATATGCTATAAGAAATTACAACCATATAGTGAAGTTCGAAGGTTTGGATGGTTCAGATAAAACTATTTTCAAGCTAACGAAAAGCATTTGCAGACACTTTAACTTCTGTCCACTTGGTGTTAATATTCTGTCTATGTCAAAACGTATTATGAATGAAGTATTCTGTACTGCAGAGACATGGGACTTCAAATATTTTACCAGGATACCGACAGTATGCACTTATATAATGAAGACATCCCAAAGCTTGCAGCAGAGTTTAAGAAGAGATATGGTCGCGAACTTATAGGAAAGAACCTTGGTCAATTTCATAGCGACTTTGCAGAAATAACACCTGGAAAACAAAGTTTAGCTTATAAAAGTATTTTCTGTGGAAAGAAGACCTACATAGACTTACTCACTAACGATTTAAATGAAGTTGCATTTCACTGCAGAATGAAAGGCGTGAAGCAAGATGTTATTGCTTTAACCGCTAATGAAATGTTTCCTGAAGCTATACAATGCTATTACAATGAAGATAAGAACATTCACATACCTGTTGGAACATATGACAAAGACTCTGAGTTCAGTTTAATGAAACTTTACAAAGCACTTTATGATGGTCAAGAGATTGCATTCGACTTATGTAAGTCATGTCAACCTTGCTTTGCTGAAAAGTTCAACTTTTCAATAACGACTAAAACAAGCTTTATTCGTAAGTTGAAGTTCTGAGGTCATTTATTTTTGTCAGCAATGAGGTCATGAATGAGGTCATTCGTGATAAAAATAAAGCTAGCGTAGATTTTACAATACTGCGATGGTAGAGTTTAAGAGTTGTGCTTCAATGTAGAGACAGTCCTTATGGTCTGGAGGCAAGAACACTGGACATTTATGGTCATGAGTGGAGAACATGTCTATCCAAAACTCACGATTGAAGCCAGTTAATTTATAGTATTTAGGGTTAGGAAGTGGTGAAGTTCTTGTATGACCAATGAACTCATTTTCAACTCCCTTACTTAAGTTTGAATATAATATAGCTTGCTTTCTATCCCAAATGCCAGGTGTTACAATCTTTGAAAATTCATTTTTCCTCGGAAGCATTGCATCATAATTGAAAACATTCTTAAAATCATCACTTGGTTCAGAGATTTGAAACCTTATACGTAATGGATTTTTTTCTCTTTAGCGACTTCATTGAATGGTGAGAATACAATGAATTGACAGTCATGAGTTCCATCTTCATTTTCATTAAATTCATAATGAAAGTCTATAAGTTGTGGCTGACTACCTTCTTCTTTCAGTTGTGCAAGAAACTCACGTAAAGGCTGTAAAGTTTGTACTTCAATGTTGAACTTTTTCTCGAACATCTCATTAAATGAAATCATACATTGCAACAATGTTGTATCGTCTTTAAAGTATTTGTATATGTGAATGTTTTGGGCGCTTAAAGACTGTTCGTCATTTTCTATCTCGACTTGAAGTATAAAGTCAACCTTTCTGAAAGCACGTGTTATATACATAGATGTTATGCCAATGTACTTCTCTTCATTTATGTTCACAATCCAGTCTGTTGGAAACTTAAACGTTACTCTGTTCCCCTTTATTTTGACGTCAGGGTTTTCACTACTGAACGCAACAGATAAAGGTATTTGTCTATACATTTAGTTCGGATAAAAATAAACCATTTACTCTTTCTTTGCTTCAGCTTCTTTAGCTTTTGCTTCAGCTTCTTCTCTAGCTTTTTCGCCAGCAAACGTGGGTTCTTTGTCTTCCAGCAGCTAATGCAGCAAGTTGTTTTTCACTAAGTTTTCTCTTTGGTCTCTCTGGCTTTTGTTCTTGTTTTTGTTCCTTCAGTTCGGATAAAATTTGCTCACGAATTTCTTTCTTCAATGCTTCAACATCTATGACCCCTTGGGTCTTGTCCGTAGGGCTTGTCTGAGTCATTTGACTGTAGATAAAAAACTAAATTAAAACTTTAACCGATGTAAAATGAGCTTGTCAAAATCAGAACGAGAGTCTATTATATTAAATGACGCCAGAGGAATACAACATCCTTTCTATTATGTAAGTCAGAGTAAAGATGGTAAAATATGTAAGAAAAAGAAAGGTTCCATTAGCGAATACAGAGAGCGACAACATTAAGGTGCATGGCAAGGGCGAAGCCCACGAAGCCCATATAAAACCTTCTGTTCAAACTGAAAAGTCAATAGAACAAGAAGAAAAGAAGCCAGATGTTCTTTCAATAACGAACCAAGAGCTTATTGCAAAGTTCGTGAATTTCATTGAAAAGCAAACCGAGTCAAAGAACCCTGACCCGCCAGTGAAAGAAGTTGAGACAAAAGAGAATGTACAGTTCATTGAAAATGTCAAGAAACAACTTCCACCACGAATGCCAAGAAGAAGAGTGAGAATAATGAAGTAAATAGATATTTTTATCTGAAGTAAATACATGCAGAACGAACAGCTAAACGAATTTACTCCAGCAGAGCATATTCATCAGATTCGCTCATATTTCGATATCATAGACAATGCAGTTCAAATTGGTGACACTAATAGAAAATATTCTGACGCAAAGATTCCATCACAACCTGGAACTGCTAAAGATAACACATGGGTAACATTCAATCTCTCACCTCTGGTGAAAAATATGTTGGACCTTTTACAATACATTCATTACGTATAAAATGGAAGGTCAATTTATTGTAGATAAAAGAAATTGGTTCAAGGTTCCAATAAAACAAACCCACCAGGATTTTGGATTGGTTTCGATGACGCTTTCTATGCAGTTGCTGGATATCAAATCCTTGCAAATGGTCGTATCGTATATTCTCAAGACAAGACAACAAGAGAAGGAAGCATATATAACTTCAAACTCACAAACTAACCGACAAATAAAGAAAGTAGATGTTTTCTCAAAGACTCGACATGAAGATGTATGGAGTCATTCGGGAACATGCAGAACAGGACAAATTGTTAGTGGTCAATTACAGCAGGAAATCATTTTGATTTTAAGCTTCGTTTAAGAATTCCTGTTAGAAGATTTTCCATTAGAAGCTATTCGATTTATTCCAGCTTTTGCAGGAAACATTCAGCTTAAAGTAAAGTTCAGTAGCGACGCCTTACAATGCACATCTATATCTGTAAATGATATCATTGCTTTTCAATCCAACTCTTAAAGTTGCATTTGCTTCAGATTCAAATCCACCGACAAATAAATTTGTTCCATGGAATGAACCATTCACTTATGATAACGAAGGCAGTAGAAGCTAGTGGAACAGTTTACTAATTACAACTGTAAACCAGCAACTATTTCGAACAAAGATGGATTTTAATGAATGTTTCATTCATCCAAAGTCATTCTCTTTAGACCCTAACATTATACAGAACTTGTAGAACATTATACAAACGAGGCTTTATGTTTTCCTGTTTAAAGTATGGATTGGATTCCTATGGACGGTTCATTCTCAAGAATACAGATAGTTCAAGTGCAACATTTACAGCAGCTTATACGCCTATTAATGTTAAAAGTATTTGGGCACTATTTAGAAAGAAAGACAACTATTATGTTAATTTTGAGAACCCTAAGTTTAAATATCTTCAGCTTTCCATGGAGCTTATGGAAATATGCCTGCAGAACCCGAAAAATCATATGGACCTGTATTTTATGAAATGGTTGCGAACGCTTGCCAATACAAACAATGATATGATAGATTTAATGAAGATGTTATGAGGTCATTGGTGGATGATGGTAGTGTGGAACATAAATGGGATAGCTATGACACACACATTTCTTATGTGGTTTTCCAACAGAAGTGGACTTTTGCTTCCAGCAAGGTCAAACATCTACTGCTCCAATAACATACAAATTGTCTGTTAAAGGACCTATTGAACTAGCAACTGAAACGTACCAAAGCCACTTATTGGATTTATGAGGATTGTTGCTTTGCCATTCAGGTGCGTGCTAATGGAATCCCAATAATAAGATTAGATGACTATAACTTAGCTACGGACGACAGTGAGGAATAAAGGATGAACGTTTATTTTTAAAGCTTATAAATGAGTTCTTCATCAAGCTCTCGTGAACCTTCACCATCTGTGAAACAAACTTTACAAACGATATATGGAGCACCTATTGAATATTTCTTACGAGCTGCACAATGGCAAAGAGCAGTCTCACCAAGGTTAGGTGTTCCACCAGCTCCTGTCAAAAATAGCATTTGGTCAAGTCCTTATATAAGATATGGTCTCCCACTAGGTTTGCTAGCTACAGCAGGAGCAGTTATGATGTTGAAAAGAAATAAAGCAAATGTTGTAAATAATACTGAAGTAGCTGAAGTTAAACAAACTCCGACACCATCACAAACACACCTTCAATGACTCCTGAACCTATGAAAGTACAAACTCCTGTTCAAAAGTCAACTCCTAAACCGACTCCAACATTTAAACCAGAACCTACTCCTCAAATAATAAATCGTAAAACTCCTGCGTTTCCTTACTGAAAAAATAACGTTATTTTTATTTAATATTAAAATTTTTATTTGATTGAAATGACGACTAAAGTCACTGAAGCAATGAAACAAAAGTTTTTGGTAGAATACATTAAATCAGGAGCGGTTCCAGAAGGTTTTTACGTTCATACTATGAAGGATGGTAGAGTTCAGTTTAGAAAGATAAAGCAACCATTAGATAGAGAAGGTATATTAAGGAAGATTAAACTTCATGAGGACAACATTGCTGAACTTAAGAAGAAGTTAGAAGAGTTGGAGAAAGGAAGAGAGTTATAAAGTAATGAGAACGTTTATGTTATGAGAAATTTTTAACATTAGTTTTATTTTTACTGAAAATTTTTATTTGGATGTAAATGACGAAAACTATTGAGATAACAAACTACAACGGTCATGAGTTCAAGAATTTGTTCTTCGTTCCTCGTGAAAATACATTCTATCAGATACGAGGGAGAAAGGGTAAAGTTAGTTTGAGCGTTTATGACAACAAACATAATGGGAGATATATAAAAGCAATAGATACAAACGGTAAACGTGTTTCATTAGCTTTGTCAAAACTTACTAACATTCATTTTGACAGTGATTTTGACTCTGACGATTGGAGTGACAGCAGCGATACTGAAGAATATGAACTATTGTGTGAAGCACAGCAATGGGAAGCGCTGCAATACTTTTGTAAATGAGAACATTAGTGGGAACGTTAGTGAGAACGTTTATTTTTTCATTAGTGAAGTCGTTAGCGAAAACGTTAGTGAGGTGAAGTGGTTGGTGGTTTTGTAAATATTTAAGGTTAAGTTAGTGTTGTCGTTTGCGTTTGTGTTGTAAAATATACGTTAACGGTTTTGTAAATATTTAAGGTTAAGTTAGTGTTGTCGTTTGTGTTGCAAAATATACGTTAACAGTTTTGTAAAGTGTCAAATTCACATATAATGGGTAAGGAAGCGCGCAGTGCCTCCGTACCCAAGATAACCATACTAACTAAAGATGGATGGTATGTTATAAACTTGGTGGAAAGTATGAATGTTCTACGTTAAACCTCAATAATATTGGAACATTACTACATCAGCTCTTGAAGGAGAACTTTATATCAGAGATAGAAGCAAATGCTGCAGGTATTGTTGAAATGCACTATGACTTCTTCTTGACAAACATAAAGAATCTTACTGAAATAAAGATGTATGATTTAACAGAATATGAAGGCTTAACGATGTCAGATGTAAAGAAAGGCAAACCAAAAAAGAGACCATATAGAGATGAAAGCACACTGACAAATGACCAGAAAGCCATTTTGGAAGCTCTTAAGCAAACAGGAAACCCAGCACTTATAGAAAGCTTTTGGAAAGATAATGGTGAAAAGAAGTTTTATAAGAAAAGAAGCGGTCAGTTCTGGAAGTATCTTTGCACATTACCTATAAATCTTGAACGCTACCAAATCTTCAATGAACTGAACAAAAGAACTGCAACACTTATGACAGAAGACAATTGTTTCGTTTATGCTTGCATTCAGGCTGGAGTAAATGAAGAAACTATTGACCACATGAGAGAAGTCATTCGTGTTAGAGACTTTCCTCAAAGTAAAGTACAAGAAATTTCTGACGCAACTGGTATAGCATTTAATGTTACCATTGGTTATTTCAATGACTCAAGACATAATGAAATAAAGAGATATATACCAAAAGAATGTGAAACTGTTCGAACTATTGACTTACTTCTTGTTGAAGACCACTACATGCTAAATGAAAGACTTCCAATGACAACATATTTCATTCGCAACTATATAGAAATCTTGAAGGAGTGTGGTGGAATGAACATTGAGAAACAGATGAAGATTTATACAAAGAGAGAAGATAAATATGTAGTTCGCATGGATAGAACTACACCGTTATGGGATGTTATGAAAACATTGTGGGAGTGCAAATATTTCGAACCTATTTCTTATGGAGAACTTTTCACATATACGACTGACTTATATAAACAGAACCTTGCACCATTTAAAGATTTGACATATGCTCCAAAGTATTGTGTACAACTGAAGAAGAAAGCAGAGTCAAAAGAAGTAAATAAAGCTAAATGTAAGTTCATTCCTGAGCATGTTTTCTTTGCTGACTTTGAATGTAGCACAGACGGCTTTCATAAAGCTTTTAACATATGTTACGACAGTGAAGATGGTTCAGTGAGTGAAAGCATATGGGGTCAAAACTGTGCAACAGAATTTTTGGAGCGACTTCCTGACAAGAGTTTAATATATTTCCATAACCTCAGCTATGATATAAACTTCATCTTAAGACACATGACAGAAGTGAAAGGAACTCCCATCATTAAAGGTTCACGAACAATGCAAATAACTGGTTTATATAAAGGACGGGCAATTATTATAAAAGACTCTTACAGTGTTATAAATAAGAAGCTTAAACTATTTCCTGCTATGTTTAACTTACAAACAGGACCGAAAGAAGTATTTCCATACAACTACTACAGCAGTGTTTTGTTAGCAAATGACAACAGAACTGGTGTCATTTCTGAAGCATGTAAGTTTATCCAGGATGCAGATACATTTATGAAAAACATAGATTCCATCAAAGGTTGCAGAATAGATGAAAACCATTTCGATTTAGAAAAGTATAGCACATTTTATTGCAAACAAGATGTAAGAATTTTAAGAGAAGGTTTTGTTAAGTTCCGCAATGACTTATTGAAAGAGTTTGATTTAAACGTTTATGACTACGTTAGTATTTGTTCAATTGCTAACAAATTATTTGAGAACAGAGTGTACTTCCCGAATGGAAATTTATATGACCTCTCAAATAAACCAAGAGAATTTATTTCGAGATGCATTCAAGGTGGAAGATGTATGCTGTCAGATAACATGAAACAAAAGAGCGAAAAGAAACTCATTGCTGACTTCGACGCTGTTTCATTATATCCATCAGCTATAGCAAGACTTTATACTTTAGAAGGAATTCCAAAGGTTATGAAGGATGAGATGCTAAGCACAGAGTATCTCATGAGACATTTATTCGATGACGACCAAAAGGAACCCATTGGTGAAAAGTTTATGTCCGGCTTCTTTGTTCTCATTAAGATAAAAGAGATTAGCATACATAGACACTTTCCTTTAATAGTTTGTGACCCTGAACTAAATCCAGAACTTAACGTTCCCAGAAGTTCAAACACTTGCTGTTTAATGTATGTTGACCATATAACATTACAAGACCTCATAAAATATCAAGGTGTCAAATGTGAAGTGTTGCAAGGATACTACTACGATGGAAACAGAGATATGAGAATAAGAGATGAAGTAAAGAAGTTGTTTGAGTTAAGGTTAAAGTATAAGAAAGAAGGAAATCCTTTGCAAGAAAATATAAAGCTCATTCTGAACAGTATTTATGGCAAAACTATTCTATCTCCTATTGAGTCAAAAATAACCATAGTAAAATGACAAAGATGCTATAAGATATGCCATCAGAAACTACAACCATATAGTGAAGTTCGAAGGTTTGGATGGTTCAGATAAAACTATTTTCAAGCTAACGAAAAGCATTTGCAGACACTTTAACTTCTGTCCACTTGGTGTTAATATTCTATCTATGTCGAAGAGAATAATGTGTGAAGTATTCTGTACTGCTGAAGACTTAGGAATGGACATCTTTTATAGCGATACCGACAGTATGCATCTCTACAATGAAGATATCCCTCGTTTAGCTGAAGAGTTTGAGAAACGTTATGGAAGAGTTCTCATTGGTAAAAACCTTGGTCAGTTTCATAGTGACTTCGCAGAAATAACACCTGGAAAACAAAGTTTAGCATACAAGTCAATATTTTGTGGAAAGAAGACCTACATAGACTTACTCACTAACGATTTAAATGAGTTGCATTCACTGCAGAATGAAAGGCGTGAAGCAAGATGTTATTGCTTTAACCGCTAATGAAATGTTTCCTGACTCTGTTCAGTGTTTCTATGATGAAGATAAAGGTTTAATGGTTCCGCAAGGAAAATTTGACAAAGACTCTGAGTTCAGTTTAATGAAACTTTACAAAGCACTTTATGACGGTCAAGAGATTGGATTTGACTTATGTAAGTCTTCTAGTCCTTGCTTTGCTGAAAAGTTTAACTTCTCAATAACGACTAAAACAAGCTTTATTCGTAAGTTGAAGTTCTGAGGTCATTTATTTTTGTCAGCAATGAGGTCATGAATGAGGTCATGAATGAGGTCAGCAATGAGGTCATGAATGAGGTCATGAATGAGGTCAGCAATGAGATCATGAATGAGGTCATTTATTTTTGTCAGCAATGAGGTCATTCGTGATAAAAATAAAGCTAGCGTAGATTTTACAATACTGCGATGGTAGAGTTTAAGAGTTGTGCTTCAATGTAGAGACAGTCCTTATGGTCTGGAGGCAAGAACACTGGACATTTATGGTCGTGAGTTGAGTACATGTCTATCCAAAACTCACGATTGAAGCCAGTTAATTTATAGTATTTAGGATTTGGTAATGGTGAATTTCTTGTATGACCAATGAACTCATTTTCAACTCCCTTACTTAAGTTTGAATATAATATAGCTTGCTTTCTATCCCAAATGTCAGGTGTTACAATCTTTGAAAATTCATTTTTCCTCGGAAGCATTGCATCATAATTGAAAACATTCTTGAAATCATCACTTGGTTCAGAGATTTGAAATCTTATACGTAATGGATTTTCTTTCTCTTTAGCTACTTCATTGAATGGTGAATATATAACAAACTGACAGTCATGTGTTCCATCTTCATTTTCATTAAATTCATAATGAAAGTCTATAAGTTGTGGCTGACTACCTTCTTCTTTCAGTTGTGCAAGAAACTCACGTAAAGGCTGTAAAGTTTGTACTTCAATGTTGAACTTTTTCTCGAACATCTCATTAAATGAAATCATACATTGTTGCAATGTTGTATCGTCTTTAAAGTATTTGTATATGTGAATGTTTTGGGCGCTTAAAGACTGTTCGTCATTTTCTATCTCGACTTGAAGTATAAAGTCAACCTTTCTGAAAGCACGTGTTATATACATAGATGTTATGCAATGTACTTCTCTTCATTTATGTTCACAATCCAGTCTGTTGGAAACTTAAACGTTACTCTGTTCCCCTTTATTTTGACGTCAGGGTTTTCACTACTGAACGCAACAGATAAAGGTATTTGTCTATACATTTAATTCGGATAAAAATAAACCATTTACTCTTTCTTTGCTTCAGCTTCTTTAGCTTTTGCTTCAGCTTCTTCTCTAGCTTTCTTCGCCAGCAAACGTGGGTTCTTTTGTCTTCCAGCAGCTAATGCAGCAAGTTGTTTTTCACTAAGTTTTCTCTTTGGTCTCTCTGGCTTTTGTTCTTGTTTTTGTTCCTTCAGTTCGGATAAAATTTGCTCACGAATTTCTTTCTTCAATGCTTCAACATCTATGACCCCTTGGGTCTTGTCCGTAGGACTTGTCTGAGTCATTTGACTGTAGATAAAAAACTAAATTAAAACTTTAACCGATGTAAAATGAGCTTGTCAAAATCAGAGCGAGCGTCTATTATATTAAATGACGCAAGAGGAATACAACATCCTTTCTATTACGTAAGTCAGAGTAAAGATGGTAAAATATACGTAAGAAAAAGAAAGGTTCCATTAGCGAATACAGAAAGCGACAACATTAAGGTGTATGGCAAGGGTGAAGCCCACGAAGCCCATATAAAACCTTCTATTCAAACTGAAAAGTCAATAGAACCAGAAGAAAAGAAGCCAGATGTTCTTTCAATAACGAACCAAGAGCTTATTGCAAAGTTCGTGAATTTCATTGAAAAGCAAACGAGTCAAAGAACCCTGACCCACCAGTGAAAGAAGTTGAGACAAAAGAGAATGTACAGTTCATTGAAAATGTCAAGAAACAACTTCCACCACGAATGCCAAGAAGAAGAGTGAGAATAATGAAGTAAATAGATATTTTTATCCGAAGTAAATACATGCAGAACGAACAGTTAAACGAATTTACTCCAGCAGAGCATATTCATCAGATTCGCTCATATTTCGATATCATAGACAATGCAGTTCAAATTGGTGACACTAATAGAAAATATTCTGACGCAAAGATTCCATCACAACCTGGAACTGCTAAAGATAACACATGGGTAACATTCAATCTCTCACCTCCTGGTGAAAATATGTTGGACCTTTACAATACATTCATTACGTATAAAATGGAAGGTCAATTTATTGCAGATAAAGAAATTGGTTCAGGTTCCAATAAAACAAACCCACCAGGATTTTGGATTGGTTTCGATGACGCTTTCTATGCAGTTGCTGGATATCAAATCCTTGCAAATGGTCGTATCGTATATTCTCAAGACAACGCAAGAGAAGAAGCATATATAACTTCAAACTCACAAACTACCGAACAAATAAAGAAAGTAGATGTTTCTCAAAGACTCGACATGAAGATGTATGGAGTCATTCGGGAACATGCAGAACAGGACAAATTGTTAGTGGTCCAATTACAGCAGGAAAATCATTTGATTTTAAGCTTCGTTTAAGAATTCCTGTTAGAAGATTCCTTCCATTAGAAGCTATTCGATTTATTCCAGCTTTTGCAGGAAACATTCAGCTTAAAGTAAAGTTCAGTAGCGACGCCTTACAATGCACATCTATATCTGTAAATGATATCGTTGCTTTCAATCCAACTCTTAAAGTTGCATTTGCTTCAGATTCAAATCCACCGACAAATAAATTTGTTCCATGGAATGAACCATTCACTATGATAACGAAGGCAATAGAAGCTAGTGGAACAGTTACTATTACAACTGTAACCCAGCAACTATTTCGAATAAAGATGGATTTTAATGAATGTTTCATTCATCCAAAGTCATTCTCTTTAGACCCTAACATTTATACAGAACTTGTAGAACATTATACAAACGAGGCTTTATGTTTCCTGTTAAAGTTATGGATTGGATTCCTATGGACGGTTCATTCTCAAAGAATACAGATAGTTCAAGTGCAACATTTACAGCAGCTTATACGCCTATTAATGTTAAAAGTATTTGGGCACTATTTAGAAAGAAAGACAACTATTATGTTAATTTTGAGAACCCTAAGTTTAAATATCTTCAGCTTTCCATGGGAGCTTATGGAAATATGCCTGCAGAACCCGAAAAATCATATGGACCTGTATTTTATGAAATGGTTGCGAACGCCTGCAATACAAACAATGATATGATAGGATTTAATGAAGATGTTATGAGGTCATTGGTGGATCATGGTAGTGTGGAACATAAATGGGATAGCTATGACAACACACATTTCTTATGTGGTTTTCCAACAGAAGTGGACTTTTGCTTCCAGCAAGGTCAAACATCTACTGCTCCAATAACATACAAATTGTCTGTTAAAGGACCTATTGAACTAGCAACTGAAAATGTACCAAAGCCACTTATTGGATTTATGAGGGATTGTTGCTTTGCCATTCAGGTGCGTGCTAATGGAATCCCATAATAAGATTAGATGACTATAACTTAGCTACGGACGACGGTGAGGAATAAAGGATGAACGTTTATTTTAAAGCTTATAAATGAGTTCTTCATCAAGCTCTCGTGAACCTTCACCATCTATGAAACAAACTTTACCAAACAATTATGGAGCACCTATTGAATATTTCTTACGAGCTGCACAATGGCAAAGAGCAGTCTCACCAAGGTTAGGTGTTCCACCAGCTCCTGTCAAAAATAGCATTTGGTCAAGTCCTTATATAAGATATGGTTTCCCACTAGGTTTGCTAGCTACAGCAGGAGCAGTTATGATGTTGAAAAGAAATAAAGCAAATGTTGTAAATAATACTGAAGTAGCTGAAGTTAAACAAACTCCAACACCTTCACAAGCAAAACCTTCAATGACTCCTGAACCTATGGAAGTACAAACTCCTGTTCAAAAGTCAACTCCTAAACCGACTCCAACATTTAAACCAGAACCTACTCCTCAAATAAATCGTAAAACTCCTGCGTTTCCTTACTGAAAAAATAACGTTAGTTTTATTTTATTTGAACATTTTATTTAGAGTAAAATGACGACTAAAGTCACTGAAGCAATGAAACAAAAGTTCTTGGTAGAATACATTAAATCAGGAGCGGTTCCAGAAGGTTTTTACGTTCATACTATGAAGGATGGTAGAGTTCAGTTTAGAAAGATAAAGCAACCATTAGATAAAGAAGGAATTTTGAGAAAGATTAAACTTCATGAGGACAACATTGCTGAACTTAAGAAGAAGCTAGAAGAGTTGGAGAAAGCAGACGACAGTGAGGAATAAAGCAATGAATTCAACAGGGTGAAAAAACAGGTGAGATCTCACCACTTCACCTAAATCTATTTTTGTGCTATGTTTTCATACGTGTGAGGGTGGTGATATCATTTATTTTTAAGTTTATTTTTTAAAATTATTTTTAAGTTTATTTTTATATAAATGACGAAAACTATTGAGATAACAAACTACAACGGTCATGAGTTCAAGAATTTGTTCTTCGTTCCTCGTGAAAATACATTCTATCAGATACGAGGGAGAAAGGGTAAAGTTAGTTTGAGCGTTTATGACTACAAGCATAATGGAAAGTTTATACAAGCAATAGATACAAACGGTAAGCGTGTTTCATTAGCTTTGTCAAAACTTACAGGTATAAACTATGACAGTGATTTTGACCTATATGAAGAAGAAAGTGAGTCAGAAGATGATGAGCTGTTATATGAAGCACAGCAATGGGAGGAGTTGCAATACTTTTGTAAGTGAGAACGTTTATTTTTACATTAGTGAAGTCGTTTGTGAAAACATTAGTGAAGTCGTTAGTGGAGTCGTTTATGTGTCAGATGGTTTTGTAAATATTTAAGGTTAAGTTAGTGTTGTCGTTTGTGTTGTAAAATATACGTTAACGGTTTCGTAAAGTGTCAAATTCACATAACAGGGGTACGGTGGAACGCAGTGCCGTCGTACCCATGATATGTATACTAACTTATAAAGCAGAACGTGGAGAGATGGAAAACAAGCTTGAAGCAAAAGACAAAAGCATTCAGAAAAGAATACCACGTTCGGTACCAAAAGGAAAGGAAAAGAGTTATAAGTATATGATATATACTGAAGAGTTGGAGAAAGAAGAAGACAGTGACATGGTTATGTTGCATTTAGTCAGAAGAAACAACAAAAGCTTTTACGACCTTGCTAAGATTTACAAATCTGACAGAAATTGGTTCTATCGCGAAAACTTACCGATTTCAATGACCCCAAATGAAGATGTGAAACAAATAGTTCAAGATACGTTACCTCAAACACACTATGATATTAAAGGTTGTACAATTTTTACCTTCAAAGAAGACTTAACATTACTGAAAGAAAAGATAACAGAGTATTTTGACAACTTCAAACAAGTAGGGTAGATGAACTCTTTATTTTTCAAGCTTGACTTTTTACAATTTGAACTTTGTTTGCGTAGATATGAATTCTGAAAGAAGTATGAGGGTCTTGTATGACTTTGTACTTCTCCCATAGTTCATGTCTGTCAAACTTACCTGCCATGGACTCTTTCATAAGTTCCATGAAATCGTCTTCGGACAATCCGGGGAAAAGTATTATGTCAGTAAGTATTCTTTTAACATCCTTACTTAAACTCTTTGCTGTCTGTACACAAATGACAACTGAGATGTTAAAGTGTCTGAGCTTCTTAAGAATTCGACACATATCTTGTTCTCTATTCTTTAACAAAGGATGAGAGGCGAAATCATCTAAGATAAGAAGACATCTATGAGGGTAAGTCTTCCAATCGTAAGATTGCAATTTCTTCGAAATGTATTCTATCTCTTTCTGTTTGTTTCTGAAGTGGTGTTTGTCTAATATTCTCTGCATTTCCTCATTAGGTTCTTTAAACTTAGAATTTATATACTCATTTATAGCATTATACTTCAAAACTCTTCTTTGGTACTTCTTTATCCAATCTAACAACTCAGTATCCTTTATACATACTAACTTAGACTTCTTTATAATATCTTTGAACGAATTGACGGTTTGGTCAAATTGACCAGAAGTCGAACAAATAACAACTAACTCATAGAATGGGTTCTTCTCATCTAGTTCTTGTTGTTGTGCAGCCATTTTAAGATAAGTGAAAGTCTTACCCGACCCAGGTGGTGCAATTAGACCTGTTATACCATTCTGAGCAAATAAGAACTTGTCATGTATAGGCTTTATCTGAGCATTTTCTAACTTCCTCTTGTTCTTATTTAAAACATTCTCAAATTTCTTGTCAATGTCAGCAAACTTTTTTTCTAACATATTTTTAGAAAAATTAAAATTTTTATCTTTTAGAAAATGTCTAGCGATTTCGCTATCTATATTCGAGACAAACTTTTTGACAGCAAAACATCTGTCGACCATAAAATCTTACATAGTGTAAACAAGAAAGGTGAATTTGTTCTAAAGTTCTGTTTCTGGGAATATGACAAGAACCATAAAACATTACAAAGAGCAGTCTTAAAATTTGTCAATGACAGACTTGTTGACAGAGATGACGCCGATTGGAAAGATGAAGTCCAACAAAAGTTCTTAGAATGCAAAGAAGACACATGCGCTGTTCTTGAAGATGAAATAGAAAACAGAATAGAAGAGCTATTAAAGGACAAAGAACTTTTACATAGATATGGTTCTGAGAAATTTGACATATCTCCACCAGAGAAGAAGAAGAAAAAAAGAAAGAGAAAAAAGTAGAAGAGAAGAAAGAACCTGAACCAGTTCCAGAGAAAAAGAAATTTGACATGTAAAAATAAAATTTTATTTTTAGAACATTTCTGGGTCAATGTCAATGTTCTCTTCCTCTTTAGGAGTAAACACTGGCTTAGACTCTAAAATCTTTTTACCCAATTTACCTTGAACTTCTACAACTTTAGACTCATAATATTCATAGTCGTCTGTCTTCTTTGGTTCATAAGGTATAACAAGTTTGTATGCTTTGCCTTCTTTAAGGTTTGAGAACCTTCTGTCAAAACTTTCTTTGACTGTTAACAAACCTTCTATGTCTAAGTCTTCAAATTTCGCACCGTTTTTAGTCACAATAGCAAACTTAACTGGTTCGATGTTCCAAACTTTGCTGAATGAAGACTTTTCAAAATGGTAGAAGTAAACATTCAAATATGTGAATGGGTCTAGTTCTTCTTTAAGTCCTGACATGTACTTGTTTACTGAGATGAATTTCGTCATCTTTTCTATCGGATAAAAAAATATTTTTTTTAAATTTACTCAGAAAAAATTTTCTTTGTATATACACCATTCTGAACATCTAAAAGACTTTTGACATTTGCCAAGAATGTACGTTTAGAAGCTGCCATATAACCATATTCTTGACAATATTGTTTATACGAATCGTACAATGACCTTTCATCTAATGACACAAAGTCAGTTTCATCTACGAACAGTTCATAAACACTCTTGTTTGCTTCTAACAATGTTTGTCTCTCTTCGGTATGTGGAATTTGTCTTGGATTGAAGTTAGAAATATCTAATGTCATAAAGTATGAGAACAAATGGTTGTAAAACTCTGGTGTCAAAGTTTCTGCTAAGTCGTCAAAATATTCTGTATCTTGCATATGAGCTTCTGACGTTCTGACAACTACATATCTTCTGTCAGAACTTTCTAACTTCATCGGAACAGCATTGTTTGAAACCATAATGAAGTTTGCAACATTTTCACAAACTCTTTGGTCTTTATACTTTCTTTCAACAACTCCAACTTTGTCTGTTATAAGACTCTTCAAAGCATCTGAGTTCAAAACTTTTGTTGTATCTATACTTTGAAGTTCATTGCAAACTATAAGTTTCATATTCTCTATTGAGGAGTTAAACTTGCCACAGATGTTTTCTAAGTTTGTCATATTCGGATTCGAATAGCCCTCTAACAGTTTGCACAAAATATCTGTAAAGAAAGTATTCTTACCAGTTCCTTGTTTTCCAATTATAATGAGAGCAGTTTCATTTTTAGCACTTGGATGTTGTAAGATATTTGCAAACCAACATAAGATATACTCATAGACTCTTTCGTTTCCATTGCATATAATTTCTTTGACATGGTCTAACCAAGCTTCTATAATACTGTGTTTCCATTCTACTTGTTCGTATTTATATCCAGTGAAGATAGAATAGAAGTTTGGAGAAGGTGTATAGAACTTTATACCTCGAACTGAAAAATCTTCTAACTTTGACAATAAGATATCCCAAGCATCTAACATCTTCATTCCAACTTGTACAACTTTTATTTTCTTAAGTTTCTGTCTACATTCTTGTTCAGACACTATTGTTGCTCTTGGTTTGTTAAAGACAACATCCCCTTCTTTCATGACATAACATTCTGGGGCAAAGTCAACATAAATGACTAAACGTTTCAAATTCTCGACTGCTTTGTTATAGTCTCTAAATGGACACATATTTCTGAATGCTTGGAAGTCATAAAAATCTGAAACATCTATTCTGTACATTTTTATAAAAATAAAAAAAATATTATTTTTTTATTCTTGACTTTGTTGTTCCATTTGTTGCATTTGTTGCATTTGTTGCATTTGTTGTTCTTGAGCTATTTGTTGTTGAAGTTGTTCTTGTAATACAATACTTTCACCAGTTGCATCTTCCAATTCGAACTTTCTGCCGTCATTGACAAATACATAGGACATAAAAGTTTTACAGGAACAAAGTTTGCGTCAAACTAATGTCAACGTTATACTTGCCAAAGTGTTTGAGTTCACTAAGGTTGAAAAATTCTGCATTCGAATGAACAATAGGCAAACCAGCAGAGAAAGTATTGTTTATACGCATAAGTATCTTTTGGTCATAATAGTTTCTGTCGACATTCGAATAACACTTTGAACCTAAGTTTGAACAATATATAAGATTGGTGTGCTTAATGTCAATGGAATAGACATTCCTTGTATGACACCTTTTTCCTGTTATAGGAAACTGTTGGTAGTAAAAACCAGAAATAAGTTTTGTATTATAGCTCATATCGTTTATAGTAAACTCAGTCGGACATCCAAACATAATGAAACCTGCTCTAGTTGCAGCACATGTTACACCCGTACTTAAAGTATTAAATAAGTCAACAAAACCTGTTGGTGGTATATCTGAGTAAGTATCTTCAAAGGAGTATTTTTTTACCAATTCACAACAATAAAGTCTTCTGGTGTCAAAAGAGCAAAACAGGCTTTAGTCGTCATTGTGTTTAAGGTTAGTTTACAATATCGTCCTTGAGGATTTGTAAGTTTGTTGTTATAGAATATATGACTCAGGGTTTTTAGTCGTAATAGTATAAAACCATTATGTCTTCTGCCATTTACTTAGCAAATAAATTTTAATGAAATGTTGTGGTCGTCAAATATTTTTATAACGTCTGGGAAACTATATTTTAAGTTCAACGTTTCACCTCCTTTCATAACGTATATCTTGTCAATGACATTATATGAAACACCACAGCAACCAATGTCGGGTTCTATTTCTTTGATGTTTATATCGTCTGCCTCTGTCAAAAGTTTCAAATAGTTCTTTCAAACTTCATGAGGTGCAATGACATATGAGTTCACTTTTACAGGGTTGTGTTCGACCAAGTTTAACATTATCTTAAAGCTTGACAAATCTTCTCCTGAGTTTGAAGTTTGTCTTTCAGTTGTTGGTAGTCGTTTCGAATATCTGCAACAGAACTTAAGTCTCTGTTAACTTCAGGATATGTTGGTTCTTTTACAGGAACAATTGTTATACCATCTTCGTCTTCGTATGGTTTCCCCACTTCAACATCTCTGTCTTTGACATTGACAATAACACTTTGACTGTTTGTTTGAGTTGGTGAATTTAACTTCACATCTGCCACCGCCATTAAACCTTTTGAAACACTTACGCTTTCTATTTTCGGAAATGACATTTTACTTAGAATAAAAAGATGGACGTATTCGGAATATCTTATTGAATTGAAGCAGAACAAAGTTTATACTCACAAAAATACAAATACATTGACAGAATAGTTCTTTACACAAACAATGGAAAATGTTATAGAATAGCATATATTTACTGAACCAAAAATATTTTCATAAAGCAAAGAAAGTTGGTATAACTGAAATGGTGAAAGTTCTTGAACAGACAAAAATATAACTTCAAAACTTACAGATATTACTAAAGGAAAGTTTATAATACAATATTATGTCAAAACTGGCGTACTGTCAATATTTGACGGAGAGAAGTCAGTTCAAGAACAACTTACTGACCTGCTGCCAAAATCTGCTCGATGGAAGCTGTCGTTATATACCATCTGAGGAGCCCCAGCAGGTTTCATCGAACGAAATCTTCAAAGAGCATCTTCCGTGAAAAGTGCTATTGGTTTGTAAACTTCTTTGCTCTCATTCATCTGGAC